TTGTTTTCGGTCTTCAATTCCTCACAGGTCACGTGGTACAGTTCCCGTTCTATAAGTGTAGAATTCTGTGATTGCGACTATCATTGCACATCACTTCGCCTAATACATGTTCCGGTAGATTTAACTACCTATAAATAGATGGAAGTTTGACCCGTGTCAAAGGTTGGGGGTGGCTGACGATTCGGAGGTGGCTGCGGGTTGACGAAAGGGAAAAGCGCTCCGCCGCCCCCGTGCCTCTGACTGTAGTGTCTTTAAGCCGTTCCCAAAGGGGGGGCATTTCTTGTTCAAGCACAGTAGAATTGTAAATGGGCTGATTCGTGTCATGCTCATAACTGTGCCTGATCTACAACAGGGAACTGTTGCTTTTTCTTTCCTAATGCTCACTATTGTCATTTTTCCTGTACTTCTTTTGTATGTTTGTCACTCTCTTGTGACCTGCTATTTTTGGGGTGCCTTGATAGTCAAAGCAGACCTTGTGCTGTTGAAGCTAGAGAGGTGAGCAGAATAAGTCTGATTCCCTGTAAAAACTTCTGTTAACATGCACCCATTGGCGCTCATAATCATATGACCTTATGCAGTTGCGAGCGCCGTAAAACCCTCTACATTGTACTATAAAAAAGACGTGTGTCGCCCAAATTCTACTACGCCGCGACACACCAGCGTTTTGATGAAGCACACAGTTCAAGAGACGCGGGCGCACGAGATGAATTTACTGCCCGCGCATTCCTACAATAGGCTAGTCAATACATGTAGTTGTGGGTTTTTTCTCGCTTCTCATTCAACACGACAATATATCCCCAGTGCAAACACCATGGCTTCTTATCACGAAACAGAGCTCTGTCTTTCTCTCTCTGTTTTCTTTGTGTGTCCAACTCTCTCTCTCTCTCTCTCTCTCTCTCTCTCTCTCTCTCTCTCTCTCTCTCATCACCAGACTTTCACTCAATCAGCTTTTGCAGAAAAGACCAGATAAAAAAAAAAAATAAAAGAGACATTGGATTTTGTTTCTTTTTCTTTATGAAAAAAATCCCGTGATTGTTTTTTAAATGAAAGAAACCAGAAAACAGCAGCAGAAGAAGAAGAGAGATGAGGTAAATTTGACAGAAGGACCCACTTCATACGTCCTTAGTGACTTAAGCGATTCTTTTGTGTTACTATAAAGTCTTCTGAGATCGAAAGTGTTTTCATTTCCAAGAAAAAAGTACCATAGACAATTATAACATTACGCTAACATTTTGTCTCAGTACAGTAGAACTACAACGTTCTATTTGACATTTATGGCCTTTTGATTTACTAGAGAGAATGAGAGAGAGAGAGAGAGAGAGAGAGAGAGAGAGAGAGAGAGAGAGAGAGAGAT